CTCTTTCGTTTCTAGAGAAAAAGAATAGGAATAGTACAGTTTGTTAGTTTCGCTCTGATTGTTTTTCACACAAGTATGGTAACTGTTCGCAAAGTCCGCACTTTTTCGAAGAGGGCGCCACAGGATTTTGATTTGAGGACACTTTTTTTAATCGGCTCAAAGAGAGGAGTGAACTATCTTGTTATACACGATCTTTGGTGTCCTTTAGTTAGCTTGAACTCGATACTTTTAAGATCTTGCATAAACTTCTTCCCTAGCTCTGCATTCCTGTTTCACGCGCATGCACGTCTACCTCGTAGCGAGTGTGTGATGAAAGCAGTACGGGAACACACAGTAGTTATCTATCCGTGGTTGGTTGGCGGGTGCTCTGGTGTGGTTTGCTCCTTCTGTCCTATCAAACAACTATCGTCTTTATCTCTCCTCCTTCTTTTTAATGTTCTCTTGTGACTCCTCTAATCTTCGGCACCTATTTGACCTAATTATGTTGTACGTCTGTTTTTTTCTCCTTTGTCTGTGGTAAAAGTAAATAAAAATTTGTTCCCGCGTCCGATCAGGACATTGGAGATTGCCTTCTTAGTGAGACAACTTCCTGGGCCTTCAGCATATTGTGGTAGGGTGGCCAGTTCCTTTCCACGCCGCCTTTACTTCCCCAACTCGAAGAAGTTAGTTATCCATCTAGTACTTCTGGGTGGACAGGAGGGAGGCCAAAAAAATCCGTGTCCGAACCGAGGCTCGAACCTGGACTTTCCACCTCGGAGACGAGCGCACCGACCGCTCCGCCACCGCACCCTCTTGTCTGTGGTATGAGGAGTTATCTGAGCGGTAGAGCTGGGCAATGAGTCGCTTTAGCAAAATCTGGATAATATGTTAGTGCACATCTTCGGCAAATAATAAGATATGAACCGTTTCGGCAAATGTGTTAGAACCACTTCGACAAACGGGTTAGCATCACTTCAACAAATGGGTGCACCCACTTCGGCAAGCGGGTCAGGAAAGAGAGTTCAGAGTCTGAATTCGGACAATGTTTCATTGCTAATTATCCGGTTATCCGGATAGGCTATCCGGATTTTGCCCACCTCTACAGTGAGCGGTGGTGCGGATGACGTCATAGTTGATCCACAGAGTGTTTACAGATGAGAGATAGAGATAGGAACAGCTCGTGAGCTCCCAGAGGGGAGC